GTTTCAAAATCCTAGAGTCCTCCAGCCAAACCAAAAACCTCCTTTCAAGAGCCCCTTCCATAATCTATAGGCAACCCCCAAATTTGAGGAATATGCTAGTCCACCCAAAACTCCCAAATCCATCAAAAATACCATCTGAGAAACCAAGACCGGGCTCATACCCATGCAATGAAAACCGATGTAAATCTTGCCAGATACACCATCCTACAGAAACTTTTACCAGCACATACCATAATAAAAATTACAGAATCCAAGGCCATCATACCTGCAGCTCAGAGAACCTTATCTACCAGCTTCAATGTTCACATTGTCCAGCCCAGTACATAGGCCTAACAACCGAGACTCTCCGAAAACGCATGAACGGCCATCGACATGATGTTAAAACTAGCAAAGAAAAACCAGTTGCACAACATGCCTTATCCCACCAACTTCTATTTGATGACTGTTTCACCATAAAAGCTCTAAAATCATTGCCAAAGAACCAATGCAATAGTTCAATGCTCAGAAGATGGGAATTAGCTTACCAGTTTGTGACCAACTCCAGAACCCCACCTAACCTCAACATTAGATAATATCCTCATATCCTCACCCTCACAGCTAACTCTTAAGTATTTATTTTCATGGACAAAACTAATTTGCTTTTCAATGTACATATTATATGTAAATACAATATTGCAATGTGCCTGTATTTAGTGCTTTGTGCAGTGTCAGTTGGACAACCTGTCAGACATTTTGAATTCAAACTGTGTCATCCTATTTAAACTGTTGTTTTGTAACTACCATCTAGACCTACTTCTGAAGAAGCCTCTGAAAGAGGCGAAATATTAAGTAAATTATGTGTTTTTTATGTGTTCTTTGACTCATCTGCAACCTTTCATCAGGTGAGTTAGCTGTGTCCTCTCCATCCTATATTTATTTATTTAATCCAAGCTAAATGCTTTTTCCTAAAAACATAACCTTAAAGTGACAAATCTTTTCACTCTTTCCTTTACTCCTTTCTTTCCTTAGTGTTACTGTCCAACTATCCTATCCACTATGAACCTATCTTCCTTTTGGCTAAAACAAGCCAAACAACATGCTTTCAAATTATCAAAAATTATATGTCATGTACATTTCCTGAGTTCTTGCCTTACTCTAGGCCTAACTCCAGTGGGCCTAACTGTAAAACCAGCCATCAGTGGCATGCCCCCTAATATGTGGCCTGCTATATTAGCCCTAGCCTACAAACAATCAATAGATTTGACTAAATCTGTCCTACAACTGTACTCTGAACAAATGTATAACCACAGAAAGGCTCTTTCTGACCTCACAAAGCTGATTTTGAATGACAAACCACAACTAGCAGATAATCTCAATTCAATAGCACAGAAAGCCTTAATTAATATGAACAAAGAAGCTGAAAGAAAACTCAGAAAACTCTCTAACCTTTGTATCAAACATATACATCAATATGGATCTATAGGCCTAGTCCAACAAACCCAACCACATCAGGTTCCTCTAATCTCAGATAGGCCTTGTCTGGCCTCCCTCTTAGGACTACCTATACCAGTAGGCCAAAAACCCTTTCTACCTAAACCACCGAAGATTCCTACTTCCCCATTCAAGAGCAATTCTGTCCCAAACAACCCTGAAACCTCTACAAATGAACAACAAGTTTGCAACTTATCCAACCACCAGCTCTCAGAAATAGAAAAAACAGTTTTGACCAAGGGTCTCAGTTTTTGTCCCACACCCCGTTTTGACCATTTTGGCCTAGTTAAAGACATCATGTCGCTAGCTAGGAACCTACGTCTCAAACATTATTTCAACTCACAAGATCAAGACAACTCGAAATCCAACAGTGTGGCGCCCTCCCTAGCGAAGTTTGCTCCACCCTCGGACTTCGATCCCCCTCCGTTACCAGCAGACCATCCGATAGAACAATACATCAACTTCTTGGTACAAAACATCTCAGATCCCACTTTCGAAAACAACGTAACCACTACAACACTCCATAACCTCACCGAAGCCGAGAAAAAAGCCATTTCAACTTTAAAATCAAATACTGATATCATGATCCTTCCAGCTGACAAAGGCTCGACCACAGTGATAATGAATAAATCTGATTATGTGTCAGAAATCCAACGCCAGCTCAGTGATTCTTCCACCTACCTCCCTCTAAAAGAAGATCCAACTATAAAGTACACCGCTGAACTCAAGGAAATAATTTACAAACACTCCAAATCCAACAATATCTCCCCAGAAACAACAAATCTGTTAATACCAGAAGAACCCATCTGCCCTAAAATCTACATATTACCAAAAATCCACAAAGGCATAACACCACCGCCAGGAAGGCCCATAGTATCAGGCTGCGGTTCTTTAACGGAACGTATCTCTTCATACGTAGACGCCTATCTACAACCGCTAGTACAAAACTTGGCCTCATATATCAAGGACTCCAATGATTTTTTGCAAAAACTTAACAATGTCAGACAACCACTCCCCGCTAACACTCTCATGGCCACTATTGATGTCACCTCACTCTACACAAACATACCTCATGTCCACGGCCTAACAGCAACAGAAAACTACCTTCAAAACAGACCCAAAGGATCCCTACCCACCACTTCGTTTATAACTCAACTGATAAAATTCATTCTGGAAAAGAACTATTTCCAATTTCAGGACAAACACTTCCTACAGATCAAGGGCACTGCCATGGGTACAAGAATGGCCCCATCTTATGCTAATCTCTACATGGGGAATTATGAAGAAAAGTTTTTGTCTAGCCGTGAACACCTCCCCATCTGCTGGTTTAGATACATTGACGATATTTTCATAATTTGGACCCACGGTGAAGAATCACTACGGAAGTTCCTGGAAGACCTCAACAGTTTTGGACCGCTAAATTTCACCTGGGATTTCTCTGAGACTTCCATCAACTTTTTAGACCTTACAATTCATCTAAGGAACAATAGCCTCACCACATCTATCCACATAAAACCGACCAACCACCAACAATACCTCCATTTTTCTAGTTGTCATCCGAATAACACCAAGAGATCACTTCCTTACAGTCTTGCCCTAAGGGGAAATCGCCTAATTTCAGAACCGAAAGACCGTACACAATACCAAACCCAACTTCAAAAAGCCTTCGAAAACCGAGGCTATCCTAGCACTCTCGTAAAATCTCAGATCCAAGCGGCTCAGAACCCACGTCCAACTACAAAGAAAAATACCAACCATCTTCAAGTAAATTTGATAACCACTTACCACCCTGGCCTGCAACAACTAAACAACCTCCTTAAAACAGGTTTCAAAATCCTAGAGTCCTCCAGCCAAACCAAAAACCTCCTTTCAAGAGCCCCTTCCATAATCTATAGGCAACCCCCAAATTTGAGGAATATGCTAGTCCACCCAAAACTCCCAAATCCATCAAAAATACCATCTGAGAAACCAAGACCGGGCTCATACCCATGCAATGAAAACCGATGTAAATCTTGCCAGATACACCATCCTACAGAAACTTTTACCAGCACATACCATAATAAAAATTACAGAATCCAAGGCCATCATACCTGCAGCTCAGAGAACCTTATCTACCAGCTTCAATGTTCACATTGTCCAGCCCAGTACATAGGCCTAACAACCGAGACTCTCCGAAAACGCATGAACGGCCATCGACATGATGTTAAAACTAGCAAAGAAAAACCAGTTGCACAACATGCCTTATCCCACCAACTTCTATTTGATGACTGTTTCACCATAAAAGCTCTAAAATCATTGCCAAAGAACCAATGCAATAGTTCAATGCTCAGAAGATGGGAATTAGCTTACCAGTTTGTGACCAACTCCAGAACCCCACCTAACCTCAACATTAGATAATATCCTCATATCCTCACCCTCACAGCTAACTCTTAAGTATTTATTTTCATGGACAAAACTAATTTGCTTTTCAATGTACATATTATATGTAAATACAATATTGCAATGTGCCTGTATTTAGTGCTTTGTGCAGTGTCAGTTGGACAACCTGTCAGACATTTTGAATTCAAACTGTGTCATCCTATTTAAACTGTTGTTTTGTAACTACCATCTAGACCTACTTCTGAAGAAGCCTCTGAAAGAGGCGAAATATTAAGTAAATTATGTGTTTTTTATGTGTTCTTTGACTCATCTGCAACCTTTCATCAGGTGAGTTAGCTGTGTCCTCTCCATCCTATATTTATTTATTTAATCCAAGCTAAATGCTTTTTCCTAAAAAGAATATAGTCATTTTTATTTTGTTCAGCAGAAACTTGGGAAAAATTACAAGGTTTACTTAAATCTTTCAAAGCTTGTAAATATTGGTCAACCGATTCCCCCGACTTCTGAAAACGAATTGCTAGAAGATGTCTGGAATAAATCTCATTCTTAGGACGGATATAGAGTTCTTTTAAAATAGCTATAGCTTCATCAAATTTTGTAGCTCCAGAGATGTATTTGTAGACAGATGGGCTAATGTGATTAACAAGTAAACGTAGTTTTACCTTTTCATTTGTTGCTTTAGATTCACATTCCTCTAAAAAGTTAGTATAAGTCTGGTACCAATGCAGCCATTGTTCTTCTGCACCATCACTTTCTGGCTCTACATCAAATCGGTCAGGCTTGAGGAGTTTGTCCATGACTTGTGAAAAGAGTTTATTAAATTGAAGTGCAAATAAAACTCATTATGAATTGACCTAAGGATAGGTTTTAATAAACTCTGAAGTCAAGTAAGATTTGTAACATACAAATACAAAATGTAAATAGTAAACAAAGAATAACTGTGTCATAAATGAAATAAGGAACAATAACAGTTCATATGTATAAAAATATTATCACAGAGAGTGTACTGTTATCGATACAAAAATCAAAATAGATTGTGAGCCTTAATTGTACGTTGTATGATGTTGGTTTAAGTTGCATGGTTTCGTGTTATACAGCTGTATATTGTATAATTGTATGTTGTATATGTATTCTATTGATTCAGCCGTTACCTTCAGCTCCTAGCGTGAGATTGTCGTCCGAGTCCTGAGTGAGAACAATACGGGGTTCTGTTTCTTCTTCTGCCCTATAACACCGGACAAACATGTTAAAGAATGTAATGTAATAGTAATGAGAGTAAAAAAATGAGTTTATATAAAATTATGTGAAAATATAATTGAATTTCAGAGTTTTGTTTGAAATATTTACAATCCAATACAAGCATTGTATAATTGATCATTGGATACCAAAATATGTGTTCCATCTAGGCTTATATAGACCATCTGTAGCCAATTTTTTATAAGAAAAAGAACATAGTTGAATAGCTACTTATAAAGTGCGCTACTGTTTAAATTATATTTTCTTTCTTAACATATGATACTTGGTTATGACAAGAAGATGATATAGTCAGTTTTATTACTTAAAAAGGTGGTGTATTAAAAACAAAATTGGTTACTGACATAAGGTACTGATGGTGCCTTAGTTCAATTATATTTATTTGTATTCTAAAATTGGCAACAGTTTCAACATGGAAATGGAATATCTACTGCTATCAATAATCAAAGATTGTATCTTGTGGTATCTCTCCCTGGGTAAAGTTTAAGTTCTTTTAAAAAGTACCGATTCCACAGCATTTGCTGACCTGTTCACTTGGCCGTCAGTGTCAGTAGGAGTGAGTGGCAGTGAGTCGACCCACTCCTGCACTGTGACGGGGGACTTGTTACGGGGCGTGGACGCGGGGGGTACCAGACCGCCCCCGCCCAGTGACAGCTCGCAGGGCCGCACACTCCCCCCGCCATTCCCCGCAATGGCTGCCGACTTGCTGAGCTCCTCATCTGTTGATGTCACCTGTAAACCAAATTTCATCCATTACTACAATTGAATAGTCTGTACAGTAGACTCTCGCTCATCCGGACTAATGTGGCGGACGTCCGGTCCGGATTACGAAAAATCCGGACTATCGAGAGTCGAGCAAATACACTGTACTGTATATAGACGTTTTTTTAATATTGTTCTAGGTCCACAGTAATGATAGCCGGGCATATGCACTTCCACTAGTCAAATAATTTTTTCGGCTGAATTTTGTTCCAGGTCCACAGTAATTGTAGTCCGGGCATATGCACTTCCACCTGTAATAATTTTTTCGGCCGAATTTTGTTCCAGGTCTACAGTAATGATAGCCCAGGCATATGCACTTCCACCGGTAATAATTTTTACCGCCGTGTTATCCGAGTTTTTTCATTATTTGAGGTAGTCTTTTGTACTGAGCCACTAAAAAAAATCACGATTGCCGATCCGGACTACCGGGAGTCCGGACAAGGCCGATCCGGATGAGCGGGAGTCTACTGTACATGACTAGGCTATTACATCCTCTACTATCCGACCCTCATGGACTGGCCCTAGATCTGATAGCCTAAAAGGTTAATTAAAAAAGATGATACTGTAAACAGGTAAAATATTGTAGAAGTAACTGTAATAAGGTGAATGAAATGCTGTTACTTATGTATCAGTACTCAAATTTACAATGTTTCTTGTAAAATGTACAATACACAAGTAACGATGAAAGTATGTAAGTTTTCCTGTATGTATTGTATGTCAGCTACCTGTACTCAACTGTGCCATAGAAAGATGATCGGTCTCATTTATATACAGAACATTTAACTTTTGAAAATAGAAATATATTGTTAGAAAAACAAACTCAAAGTTTAGTTTTTACCACACTCGTTATTAAGAGTCAACAGGACCGCTGGCCATCTTGGATTTTCTGCCCATAATGGCAATGTGGTTGAAGCGTATTACGGCATTGTTTATTAAGATAAAAAATTGCATAATATCTCATTTTAAAGCTATTGAAACTGCAGATGTGATTTGCTATCTAATTCTTAATTTTTTTATTTTTTTATTATTTTGTCTAACTACATAGATATATTGACTTAAACTGTAGTTTTTTCATCCTCTAAAACAAAAGTTAAAAAAATTTGAAAAGCAATTCACACAGAAAATATATTTAAGAATCACATTAAGTTTTCTGCTTGGTAATCAAGCTTATGGTCTATGATTGATATGCTTCAGGGTGAGCGCATATTTTGCTGATCGACACTAGGACAACCACTGTTTAGCCTGGCAATTGACGGTCAACAACAATGCAAAATTATTGACTCCTGCCAACTCTTAATACTACCTATATTTATTAGGGATGGGCCGATTCCGATTCTCGATACCAGCGGTATTAAAGAATCACTGATACTTTATACTTCGCTTCATAGTAGTCAATGAAAAATAAAACTCAGTGAAAACTTTAGGCCTACCTAAACTAGTGTTGGTTGTTTCTATTTAATTTAATGAAATACGTTAAAATGTATGTCTTCTTGAAGTATCTTATCATCCTTATAGGCTGACCTAATATAATATAACCTAAAATAAATAAAGGATCAAGTTATTTTTATTTAATCATTGTAGGATAAGATAATGTATTGCTATTGATTTAGGTTACATATTATATAACCTTAATAAGATCTAAGATAACCGTATTGCTATTGATTAAGGTTACATTATATGTGGCCTATTGCTTAATCAATAGCAATACACACATATATATGTTATTAAATTAATTTATAACAGGTATCAGTATCGAGTGCAGAATCGAGAATCGAAACCAAAGTTCTGGAATCGGAATCGGTATCAAGCAAATCTGTAATCGGTCCATCACCAATATTTATAAATAAACACACACATAATTGATTGAAAAAAATAAAAAAAAAACTTGCTTGGTTGTTTAAGAAACCCTTTGATTCGCTTTGAACTAAAAGAGTAAATTTAACTCACGCCGCATTTCTATCGAGAATGACTAATTACTAATTAATTATTCATAATGTGGTCTAATTATTAATAATAGCTCTTAATACCAATGCTAACTACTCAGATAGAACTGATCAGCCTAGCTTTGTTACCAAGTCCATACAATAAAATGAATTGGATAGGTAGCAGGTGCTTAAAAGTAACACTTACATACAATAGTTACAACATAATCAGCATTGACTATTGGATACTGAAGTAGACATCCCATCTATATGGACCAGCTGTCACCAATTTTTTATTAAAAAAGAACTTAGTTGTATGAGCTAGTCACAGAATGCGCTAGTGCTATAACACAATTTTATACCTTATCTTTTTTGTTGCTAACCAGGTTGATGGGTCATAACAGTTGCTATAGCTCACGATAAGTCATTCCCTTAGTTTGACTTAGCCAAAAGTTTGTGTATTCGACAGAATTTAGTAATTAAGACAAGCACAATCTGTCAGTGGCTCACATCAACTACTTTGATTTTGATTTAAAATCTGGCTAAAAATTTAACATGGGGACGGGATGTAATGGATAGGATAGGATGTTGTATTGATAGTCAAAGACATCAGACATAATAAAAAATCTAGAAAGACGTAGTTTTAACATGTGTTTTCACACCTAAATAATCAGATGACTTTGAGTTTGTTGCTGATACTTAAATACCAGAAGGTTAATACTAAACAGAAAAGATAGTCTTAGCTAAAACTAATTTAATGTTTTAACGTACCAGATGTTTTACATAAATAAGGTTTTGTAGCCCTGAGATACTTCCCTCAATTTATTAAAACTTGTAAGCTTAAAAAATTGATTCATTAGTTTTGGCTAATCTTTTATTATTTCTTTTCGGATTGTCAAATAGTTATATTTCTGTCAGGAACTTAAAAATCCAGTTTTGCAAGTCCTAGTGTTGTATATTTTGAGAATATTGAAAATATATTTAATATTAGGATACTTGTAAGACAACAATAAACTTAAATAGGTTTCCTGTTAAAGGGAACATTCATTATTATCGATAATTTTTAATCGATACATCGATATTTTTCTTTCCCTTTACGATCCGTTACAAATTGACAACTAACTATCTTGTTTAGGCTAAAATCAAGTCTATTATGGATTAAAACTGTTCTAAGCTAACCTAACATAACCAACCAAACTTGCTGTACCGTTTTAAAAATTCCGTTTGATTACAGAAAAGGCATGTGGGGAATATTAAACGGAATTTTTAAATGTTACAGCAAGTTTGGTTAGTTTTGTTGGGTTGGTTTGGAACAGTTTCATTTCAATATTTTTTTTATACTGAACAATATTTATTTATCGTAGTTGTCAGCTGATAGGTTTCAATTCGTTAATATCGATATATCGATTGAAAATCATCGATAATAATGAATGTTCCCTATAACAGGAAAGTACCCTTAAATACTACATTAAAATATGTTAAATAAATAAAACAAAAATCTAGCTGAGCTGAAACACTCTTTTTGTTTCCTTTGCCAGTGGCATTTTGCAAGAAAGTAACTCAAACGCTTGGGAAAGCAGTTAGAACTCTCAGAATGTTGTGAATATGTAAGGGATCAATCTTGTTCCTCTAACACCAAAGTTTGAGACACTAACCTTTAGGCTAGCAACGCACTCATATATTTTTTTCAGTAGGCCTATCAACAAGTGTGCTAATTCAAATCTGATTTTAACTTTCTGGTTACATTTGCTTGAATGCATTACTAGTAGTATGTTATAGTATTATAGATACGTGTACACCTCTCGGAATGTACTCACAGGCAGTTGGCTCAGCGAGGACATGAGCTGGTCAGCAGCGGAGGGTTTGCATCTCGTCTGTGTGGCAGCCGTTATCTCGGCTACCTCAAGGTCACAGTCCGATGAGGGCACAGGCTCAAACTCGGCTCCTCCTTCTCTCTGTGCCAGTAAAATTATGTTAAACTTTGAAATGAACGTCGTATTGTATCGTTACAGTATAAGTAGGTAGCTAACTAATCTAAAAAAAAATCTTAATCTTACTAAAATATTTTCAATAGTGTTAACAAAATATGTGATTAGGAACAATCGATGGTGTTAAATCCTTGCCTTTTATTAAGCTTAATGCAAAAAGTGTTGATTTTTTTAAAGGTATATGTGACCTCTTTAAACGTTGAACTGGCCCATCCACATGAGCCTCAAACAAACCGAGGGGTGAGTCAGTACAACAGTTCAAGAATGAACTGCACAGTCATTATAAGACACAGCACTGATACCCAAATACTGGTGGCACTGATGTATCTTAACCCCAAGATAACTAAAGGATACATCTATAATGGAATGAGATACATTGTGTAGCTTTGATAATGACCAAGACCCATGGTGTAAGGGAAGCTGCTTACTCACTTTCATTTAGGACCACGAGTGAGTATTACCTGAGTATCGGAGCGAGAGTCACATGAAACAGAGGAGTCAGTGGTTGTGGACGCAGGCCAGTGATTGTCTACAGATGCCAATAGATGTCTCCACTGCCACCGCACTCGCTCAGGCCGCAACTTGCGCACAAAGTCTCTCACCCGCAGCTGTAGCCCACTTGTTCCTGAAAAATTGAGATAATATCTTGAATTTATAGACCCAATTGTTGGAAAAAAAGATTTTCACTTTTTCTGTACTCTTAACGCTAAGCTTTTCCCCACTTTTAGACTGAAGTCCTTCAACCACAATTCTAGCCCACTAGTTCATAAAAACATTGAGGTTACAAGGTAAACATACTGGACACTTAAAATATACTTTGTGTATACATTCCCAAACTATGCTATGAGTTTTGATATATCCTAATGTAAAATTTGACTTTTATATTGTAACAGTTTTATAATCTATCTATCTATCTACCTATATAAATAAAAATGAATCCCCTTATTTGATTGTATTCCATAACTCAAGAACGAGTGCACCATATTGGATGATTATTTTTTTGTTCTGTTCCTTAGTGCCAGGGGAAGGATTTAATTTAAAGAAATTTATTATCCATCTACTAACTGTTATTTAGTAATTTGATTTTAAAAATTCAAAAATATTGCTTTTACATTAGCATTGGATGAAAATGATTGAATTAAACTGTGGGATACAATAACATGTGTTAAAAAAACATGCGTTAATTTTGAACCAAGAGGTGAGTGAGCATAGCGAACAAGCTCATCTTCAAAATAAACGAGCATTTGACATGAAACCACGTTAGGACAGGATAACGTATGTCGGGAGTTCTTAGTAAAAATAACACAGAGAAAATACTCAGCCGTTCATTTTTGAGCGAATTTGGCCACGGTAATTTATAAATACATTTTTCACACAATAAAAATAAGAAGAGTAAAGGTGTGTGATATTTTTTATAGAGGAAAAGTTATCATACAAAAAAATCATATAGAAAAGATGACAAAGCCTATGTTAAATCAGCATAACGGAGAGGATAAAAAAAAATATAATTTGCTCCATAATTTTAGTTTTAAATTAATTAATAACATCTTTTAACATAATGGCTGTACAGGGTAAACAGGCTTGTGCAGATGTACTTATCAAAATAGATGAAGATAAATTAATTCATAAATACAATGTTACCTGTCTCCATTTTGAGTTTAGTCACACCATCCTAATCCTTGTAAGCATTAAGAAGAAAAAAACGCAATTACTATCACCAGTAATAAAAGTAAATGTAACATATTTTCAAATCCAAATGGACAATTGCTTAGTTAAGAACGTGACTTAACTCATTTGGAATCAAATTATTTTTCTTCTATACTGATCAATTGATTGGTTTACACTTGTGGTCGAAGCAGCTTTAAGGGAAAAAGAGCTATACCACCACAAATCATTAAGCCCTCTGAATCCAAAATTTGCTAAACATAAGAAAAACATAGTTTATGTAGGCTACTAATAACATTCGGCTGTCTTTTATTTGCAAAATCTCCATAAATTTGTATTTACACTGTAAACAGTCCAGCACAAAGCTTAATAAAGAGTTTATTTCCTTATTATAAAAGATTAAATTAAAATAAACAAAATAAAATAAATTCTATACCTTGATTAATAAAAATGTAGTAGCCTATTGTTTATTTGTTAAATCTCCCTAAATTTGAAATTGCACTGGAAACTTCCTAGAACAAAACTTGAGTGTATTTCCTGACATAAAAGATGCAAGGAAAAATTTAAAACTCATAATGGTTTTAATCAGTTAGCCTAACCCGTAAGAGTATTTTATTGTAGGGAATATAAAAAATACAATATTATCTCTTCATGGAAGTCTTTCATTTTAAAATACCCCCGCCGCAGCAAACCTGCAGACTAAGTGAATTTCCATCTACCTCATCGGATTTTCAATTAAATATAATAAAATTAGGTTTAACAAGTACCTAGGTTTAATCTTACAGGGAGGGCAATAAAGTGTGTTTTTTAGTAAAATATGAATAGTTTAGTATAAAATAAATACATTTTGTCAAGTTGATATTTCTCCGTAACCAATAACCGTAAAAAACACTTCAATATTTGTTTTTTTTTAGCTCTTTAAAAAGGTTTAAAGAGAAATTAAGAAACTGTATGTTTTGAGGATCAAACACTAGAAAAAAAAACAATTTTTACCCCATAAAACCCCGATCATGTTGGTTTGCGAACTCATTCAAGTTTATCCCGCCCTACACATTGAAGCCCCTGAAATATTTTATTAGCTTTAAATTCCACATTTTTTCTGGGGGATATTCCATACCCCCGGTAGTTATCCCCCCCCCCCCGAAATGAAATCCTGGGACTGCCACTGCTAGACCCAAATGCAATTTTTCATTGAGCTAGATTTTAGCAGTTTTATTTTTGAAACTACTGATATTTTTTTGCTTCATTATTATTGTTTGTAACACTGTATTCACAGAAGCTGGTAGCAATAGAGCAAACAGATCACCATTAACAGTAATGAAACAAGTAAATTGTATTCTCAATTTCAATTTTATCAGTCACATTTTTATGTTATTAACTTATGTCAGGGGGAGGAGTCGAGATCTCTTTAAGTTTTGATCGCATATTTAATATTTAATCATTAGCCACATTTTTTTTGTAACTATGACATTTGTAACCAGCTAAGTTAAAAAGTTTTGCGTTTAGGTTTTGAGATTTGGGGATTTGATTTTTTAAAGTTTTGGTTTCGGTTTGAGATTTGAAATTTCTGGTTTTGGCCATCACTAAACCAAAAGACTTAGTACACAAAATAAACTACTATGCAAAAATTTGTCGATGATGCAAGTACAGTAGTAGAATTTATTCTACTTTGTTCAATTGGATACACCAACTCTCTTTTCACAAGGAGGCTTAAGTAGAACATAGTGGGACATACCTTTTAATAAATTAAAAGGGAAAAAAAATTGCTTATTACATATATGGAAAATTTGCTAAAAATAAGTAGGATTGTAAAACCTAATAAAACCAACTACATACTCAAGAGTAACAGAATTGTCAATGGTTGAGAGAGTTAAAGTGTTGTATTGGCTTATATTACATCATAATAAGCAGCATCGCATCAATTTAAGCAACGGAGTCAGCGTGCCAGCTTATTAACTATCACCCGGGGTCAATTTTGTCTGGCAAAACTAAACTCCAGCATAGTTGTTTTAAGGATCAAAAGGCCAATCTTTTCATTACTCCTTCCGCTCTTTTCTTTGACAATCACTCTTGAACGTGCATGTGAACACATCTACTGCATTCAAATTCCTAAGGGTGTTTGGAGTAAAAACTAAATATGTATTGGTTTGGGAAAAAATATTTCTATAACATGTAGGCTCTATTATGAATGTACATTTTATTGAACTGAGAGATTTATTTGTAACTGATGAATTAATCAGTAAATATGTGGCAAAATGAGTTGGCTTTGGGAAGTTATGCTAACTTTGGCTTAAGCATATTGTGGTAGGAAAATACTCAATATACTTAGCTTAATAAACCTTACCATACTGTAATCATTGAGGGTTGTCAAGCATAATCAATTAAAATGTATACTTTAAATTTGTTGACTCATTCAAGAACAGGAAAATTTTATATAAGCATATTAAAGAAAGTATATTATGTGTATAAATAACTATAATATAATCAAGATAGGAATGAGGAATAAGTTAAAAAAGCAATGCATAAAAATATTATTTTACCTTTCTTAAATCTTTTCCAAGCAGTTTTTCTAACCTGCGCCATGTCTAATTGCACATACAGACTGGCATTTTAATTACTGATAGAAAAATGATCAGCGTTGGGATTATTGGCTTACAGATTAATAGAAGATAACAGATAAACGAAATGAGGTAGACATAACGATGAGACAGCTGTTACAGCAGACGACAACACAGTCATCTCAGGCGGTAAAGTAAACATGGCTGACGACAGGCATTTATATTTTAAATACTACCTCTCTGCAAACATTTAATCAAATGGGATTTGTTTAAGCCTACTGAACTTAAATAGAAAGTAAAATAATTAGTACCGGTACTAAAAAGGTAATTTTATTTTAGTTAAGACTTAAATCAACTAAAAAATAACAAAACATCACTGAAATAGACATAGGAGAATAACTAATGCAAGGCGACTAAATACTTAAATGTGGTTTTCCGAATGTTTGTTTTTTGAATCTGTAGGTACACATAGTTTAAGGGGTGACTGATCCTTTAAATTTTTGGAGACTGAACCAAAAATTCTACCAAAAGTATGTATTGTGCAAACCTCTCTATTTTAAACCCACGCTGTAAAGAAAACATGTGATTGTAATTTCTTTAACTTGTTTCGATTTTCTGTTTATATTTTGTTGTTATTTCGTCAACAACATAACATGACAACCCATAAGGCCCATGTTAATTTTTTTTAATTTAAAACTCATTGCTTGTGCTTATTTTTGAGCCTATTTTAATTTACAGGGGATTCTGCACATCTACAGGAAAATATCTTTCATTTGGTACCAACCGCGTGTAATTCGGTCCAGAAGTATAGTCAGGCTAGCTGTCATGAGTTTTGCAAATGTTTTTTTTGTAATATAAGATTTTCTCAAAATGCCTGATGCAAATGTAATGGTGAAAATTAATATTTCAAAAGACTATTCCCTTTTATGAATAATAATAACTTAAAAATATGCTAGCTAATTTTGGTAAACAACTTATTATTACAAAACTTCAAGTATTTCCTTGTACTATTTTTAACCATTTTAGGACAAACATAGATTGTCATTAGTAAAGGCAAGACGCATCTTTCTACAAATTACAATAGGTTTTTATAGGATTTTGGGAAATGGACACAGACTTCTGGCTACACACACTTTGGATTCAATAAGTTTAAAAATACCCTTCATTCTAAGGTTTTAAAATTGAAACAGGAAAAAGGTTTTTTGTGCTTTTACAATGGACGAAAACACTATTTAGTAGTTAACCACCTGATTTATAAAGTCTTTTTCAGTTTCATAAATAATCACTACAAAATTCACACAAAAAAGTAGAAAAGGAGAGCTTGTCTACGAAAACCAACCCAAAGAGATTTCTTCCGGCAGTCAATGCAATTGTGGCTCAAAGTTAAAAGAATAATGATAAGAATAGATAGGTCAATGTACCTTGTACCTAATATAATACGACGTATTGAGAAGGTGAGTTACTGAGTTATTATTTTAATATAAAGCATAGTGTTTTATCATAGTTTTTTTTGTGAGGAAATAGTCCAAACGCTGATCTATTAAATTGTTAAATATTGTTAAAATTATTAAATGTTACTATTTAACAAGATTAACAAGACAGTACATTGACAGTTTTGTAAAGCCCGATGGGAAACAGCAACTGGGTCCAAAACTAACACAATCAGGACCAAACTTATTAAAGAACAATATATTGTTATTGATTAAGGAAAATTGGCATGACTGAACTGCATTAATGACTGTTGATTACAATTTCTAACAATTCTTATTTCCTGTTTTAGTATGATAGTAGGCAATAAGACACAATCAACCACTGTGATAGAACCAGATTACACTTTAATCATTTACTAAAGCAAAATGAAAACACCCTGAGCAGAAAATATGCCTATTTAGAATAGTAGATTGTTAAGAATGTATGACTTAACTATCATTTTAATTTTCCAATTGGATTTTCACTAACTTACTAAATCACTAGCTGTCTATTTACGTTTCTTAATATAACAAAAAATATCTGTGCCAAAGCTGATGAAATTAATTTTGTGATTGGCTTCGACTGGGGAATGGGACCCAAACCAATGACAAAGGATTTAGAAATCAATGAATGATGGGGTTTTTTAAACGTAAATTAATAATAACTTATAAAAAATGTTACAATTTTTCTAACAAAATGATAATGTACCAATTGAATAAAAAATGCAATACTATTAACAATGAAACACTTGAAGATGTGGATGGAGAAGCAAATGAATACTTCAATGTTTTCAAAACTATCACTACTATCATCGATGAAAACGCTGAACGTTTAAATAGTCCTATTCTGATTGAATATGTAAACTCAATCACACCATCAGGAGGAATACAACTATGTAAACTTACACTAAAAGCAGTAACTTATCTATTTTGATGTTGATCAGAAACCCCTAAATCTAGGGTTAGGTTTGGTCAATGGT